TAAAAACTTGTTTGGTAGGATTATTTTCAAAAATTGAACTCAAGACTAACTAAAAAATATAGTCTATTCTCTAAAAACATAAAAAGTGAGTTTTTGGAGTTTTTAAAATTAAACTTATTTATTTCTTTTCTTTCCCTTCTCCCTTCCCACTCCAAATCTACATCTCTCTCTTTTCTTCTTTCTCTTTCCTCTTTTTTTTTTTTTTACCTTTTTCGTCTCTCCTCCAATCTACTATCTTCAGTCTCTTAGTTCTTTTTCTCACGCATCTTTCTCTCTATCTCGTCCGATCCTCTCCCTTCTTTCTTTCCTTCAATCATCTCTTACTTTCTTTTCCCCTCTCTCCTCTTTCTTCCTCTCTTGCGACCCCACTTTTTAAATCTCTTTATCTAGTTTAAGTCGTAAGATTTAAAAATTTTAAATCCCAAACCAATCATATTTTTGAGTCTTAAGGAAAATTGTTTTCAAGAAATGTTTTTAAGAAATATTTTGAGAAATGATAAAATTTTCAAATAGGATAACAAACAGGCCCTAAAGTTTTCCACATCCGCCAAAAGACCTGGAAAAATGTATAACTTGTAAACGAGATTTTTTCACCTCAAATTTCTCTCTCTATTGAAGAAGCTGGCACAACCAACAAATGCTGTTTATACCATATTTAGGGCCTCGTATTTAGATCTCGTACAAATACTTGGGGGACTTAAATGTAATTATGGGATAAAAGAAGGGGCAAATATGTAATTAGGTGATGAGCCCTTATTCTATAAAAGGGCCTCCTCACCCTCACAATTGGGAGAGGCCTGACTCTCACTCTCAGAGGCCATTTCTGAAGCCTCTCACCCCCTCTCAAAGCTTCCTCACACCCCCTAAGCTCTAAGCTCTCTCTCCCTCTTCAACAGAGAAATACAATACAATCAGTGTGGACGTAGCCCAAACCTTGGGGTGAACCACGATAAAATCCTTGTGTTCTTCGTGTTCTTGAGCGTTTGTGCAGATTCACGGTCGGATTTACGTTGTACCAAAACCATCCGGTTTTGTGCATCAACATTTGGCGCCGTCTGTGGGAATCGACACGAAAAGCTATGTCGGTTTTCTCTCAAATTTTCACCTCCACTGTGAATCTACAAAATCTGCAAGAAACCCAAAAAACCTCACTGGGCTTTTCCAGAAAAGAAGATCCAAAACCCAAATCCGTAAAAAGCTTTGTGTGAATCCATGGGAATGAGAAGCTAGCTGAAATGGTTTCGTTGGAAAGGGGGTCCCATTGAAGAGGGACCCACTTCTACGGTCTTCATCGAACTGAGACCCAGATCGAAGAGGCTGGATTACCTCCAACGGATTTGCTCGATCTCTTTGTCCCCAAGAAGCATCCCGGCTTTCCATTTGGCGAGTTGGTTTTCCTCCATTACTCCGGCAGCAAATCCTCCAAACTCTCCACCAAGCTCCACATTTCGGTTCCCGGTTCGTTTCGCTCACTACCAGCCAGATTCAGCTCATCGCGATGTTGATCGAGGACAACGGGGAGGACAGCGAGACACGCGGATTGGCGCCGACCGTTGATCTCAGCGCGTCGAACGGAGAGCTGGCCCGCGACGGGAGCATGGCGGAGGTGTGAAGTTCTGGCAAGCACGCGGTGATCAGCCACAGCAATAAGACTTCAAGCAGATCCATGAAAGCTCCACTCCATGAAATTAATGGGGATGGTGGTTAATCATGTTCTTGGATTTACTAGAGACCTCTCTCTGAGGGGGAGCATCTGTCTTTGTCCGGAATGTGGTGAGATTTTCATGAAAGCTGAGAACTTGGAGCTTTACCAGGCTGTTAGACATGCAGTTTCTGAATTGGGTCCTGAAGATACTAGCAAGAACATTGTGGAGATCATATTCCAGTCCTTAAGATGATGCTCAACTGCGGTGATTAGGCGGCGGATCTGACCCGGCCGTGGACTGCGACAGTGCCACTGTCTTTCTCTCTTTCTCTATGGAAGAGCTATGAAGTTGTTGAAATGAGAGGTGGGATCTCTGATTCTCTACGCAGCTGCTTTCTACGCCTTCATCATCCATCGATCCCTCCAAATCTCTAGCGATCAGAACCTCATCGAAGACGCCACGTTCCTGTTTTCTGCTTTTGGGTTCTCTGAGGAATTTGATCAGCTCAAAATCATTGAGGACGCAGGCGATGGAAATGGCGGTATCAATTTCGACGCCTACGAAGACATCCCGGTGGAGGTGAGCGACGAGGACATTCCACCACCGGTGGACACATTTGTCGAGATCGATTTGGCCGGTGCAAGTACGTGAAGCCCACGCCGATTCAGCGCCACGCTATTCCGATAGCCATGGCTGGCCGCGACTTGATAGCATGTGCTCAGACTGGGTCCGGTTAAACGGTTGTGTTTTGCTTCCCTAGTATCAGTGGGGTCTTAAAGAACGGTGTGGAGTTGTCGCCCGCTCGCGTCGTGGATGAAAATGAAAAGAAAACAGTGAGGTCTTAAAAGAACAGTAGAATGGGTATGAAACTGAAAAGAAACCCATTTTTTCCCAAAAATACTGTGGATTCAAAGGAGCCAATTCCTAGGCAAGTTCCAGGAGATGGAGATCAGGACCAGATACCTCCACCAAATGGAAAGTGCGATCTTTTCTCCGCGGCAGTTCCTGTTCCACGTCCATGGCTCCACCGCTGGTGACATCTGACTGGAAAAAAGCAGTGAAGATCCCAGCATGCCGAAAGCAAAAGAAAAGAGAAAGCAAAAAAACAAAAAGCAGTGGGAACAAAAGTAGAAAAGAAAAAGGAAAAGGAGGAAAGGGTCTGAAGAAGTTTGTGGAGATGGCATGCGCCAATTGCACACCAGTGTGAAGCAATCCAGCCATCATGTCACTAAGAAAGCAAAAGAAAAAGAAAAAGAAAAAAAAGAAAATGGAGGCTCTCCTCGAGAGCACATGGAGACAGAGGTGCAAAAGAAAAAGAAAAAAAAGAAAATGGAGGCCCTCCTCGAGAGCACATGGGAGACAATGCAAAAGAAAAAGAAAAAAGTGGTGCAGTCATGGAGGGGTCATGTGCTCACAAAGAAGAAAGCAAAAGACAGAGAGTGCGGTAGAAAGTTAAGGCAGAGCAGAAAAACACTGCAAAAGCAAGGAATAAACACCTCACCCGAATGATGTAATTTATTTTTATTATCTTTCGGAAACATCTGTATAAACCCCATCAGAGGGTAATATATATAAACCCCATCAGAGAGTCAAAAAAAAAAAAAAAAAAAAAAAAAAAAAAAAAAAAAAGGAAAAGCCCAAAATAAATGGGCTGGCATGTTGTGGAGAGCGAAGGCCCATAAGCCCAAAATAGCACCAACTAGGTGATTAAAAGTACGCCTAGTACTCCAAATTATACATAAGCACTACTCATGTCATTCATACATAAACATTCATGAGCATCACTCATGATAATCATACATAAACATTCATGACCATCATTCATGTCAACATTCATAAGCATCACTCATGTTAAACATTCATAAGCATCACTCATGACAACATCCATGAGCATCACTCATGTCAATCAACATAAACATTCATGAGCATCACTCATGTCAATCAGCTTCAAAAGCTTCATTTACAAGAGCTCTAGCTTCAAAAACTTCATTTACAGAGCTCTAGCTTCAAAAGCTTCATTTACAGAGCTCTAGCTTCAAAAGCTTCATTTACAAACGCTCTAGCTTTAAAAGCTTCATTTACAGAGCTCTAGCTTCAAAGCTTCACTTGCAAAGCTTCACCTACAAAGCTTCACCTACAAAGCTTCAGTGCAAGGTATACAAATATCGCCTCCTAACAACCGCCACTTCGGCCCATACATGGATTCCAATTTGAAGTCTTCAGCCAACAGACTCTATTGACCGAAGACTTGGGGGACTACATTATGTACCATATATTGGGCCTCAAGAGAGCCCTCATAAAAAATACTTGGGGGACTCTAGCCCATCACTTATGTATTGAGGAGTGAGCCCTTATTCTATAAAAAGGGACTCCCTCACCTTCATTAGAGAGAAACGCCGCCAGCTGAGCAACCGCCTCGCCGCGAGCATCAACTCTAGCCCATCACTTATGTATTGAGGAGCGAGCCCTTATTCTATAAAAGGGACTCCTTCACTTTTAGAGAGCACTCATGAAAAATACTTGGGGGACTCTAGCCCATCACTTATGTATTGAGGAGTGAGCCCTTATCCTATAAAAGGGACTCCCTCACCTTCAACACCACAAGCCGAGCCAACCAAGGCAACTCAAGCTACAAGCAAAGCGGCCTCGCAGCATGTGCTACTTATAGTTGAGCATCATTTCACTTTGAGCACCGCCTCATATCAAGTACCAGTTCAGGACGACATCTAGTTACTTCGGCCCACACATGGACTGAATTTCAAGTCTCCAGCCAAAAGACTCTCTTGACTGAAGACTTGGGGGACTACTGTTTATACCATATTTAGGGCCTCGTATTTAGATCTCGTACAAATACTTGGGGGACTTAAATGTAATTATGGGATAAAAGAAGGGGCAAATATGTAATTAGGTGATGAGCCCTTATTCTATAAAAGGGCCTCCTCACCCTCACAATTGGGAGAGGCCTGACTCTCACTCTCAGAGGCCATTTCTGAAGCCTCTCACCCCCTCTCAAAGCTTCCTCACACCCCCTAAGCTCTAAGCTCTCTCTCCCTCTTCAACAGAGAAATACAATACAATCAGTGTGGACGTAGCCCAAACCTTGGGGTGAACCACGATAAAATCCTTGTGTTCTTCGTGTTCTTGAGCGTTTGTGCAGATTCACGGTCGGATTTACGTTGTACCAAAACCATCCGGTTTTGTGCATCAACAAATGCTTTTCAATTTTCTAAGCAGACGTAGTTAGAAGCACTTTTAGTTATGAAAAAGCACTTCAACTCATCCATAGACAATCCAAACAGGCCGTTAAACTAATATTGGACTAATGAAATACTTAGCACATTGCTAAGAGGAAGAAAGCACGAACTTCCCCGTCAAACATGAAAGGAAGCTTCCCATTCTTATTGTACATAACCAATGCCCAGATTATCATTCTTCTGGGAAATGCTTTACGCCGTCAAATATTCCGTTCGACCCGACCCGACAAATCGGATAAACAGAAGTGTTCACTCAACAGCAACATCATTTGAAAACTCAAGCAATCGATGAAGTCATATAAGGCAGGAAAAGCCACATTAACAGAGTGTAACTATATTTTGAGATTGTAATGACCACTGTTCAATTTCATAACACTGAAACTCCAAATTCAAACCAAAGAATGAATACTTGCCCGTGTATCGAAGGAGACGAAATCTATACACGACGGGAATAACAGCGACCAAAAAACGCCACCACCGAACGGGGATACGGAGAGTTCACCGGCACTAGCATCTAGATAATGCTTCGACCTTGCAAAATGGGCAAGTATTCTTCTGTGCAAGCCACTGTTTTATACATTGTAGGTGGAAGTTGTGTCCGCAGGGCAGCTTGCCCATCTCGTCATCTGCTTCGTACTCCTCCTATACAAGCGTTGAGTAATTACGGATTAAGAAAATGAAAAAACCGGATATAAAAATTTCTCAGAAACGATCGCCAGGGTTTTACAAACTCACCTGACAAATGATGCATTTGCTATCTCCTTTCCCAGATGAATGTGGCGACGCGTCACTTGACATTGGAAGCTTAATCTTCCGAAGGCAGCGGTTAATTTCATCTTCTTTTAATCCAGTACTCACGTAACCAATTCTCTCACCCAACTCAAGCAGTTGCTGTTATCCGCAAAAAATGAAGAAATGCACACGTTACAAAATTTAGGTAACCAAAAACGCAATCAGGTTTCGAGAAAAAAGAGACAGATTTAGTTTGCGAAAAGTAACCTCATACGACATGCTATCGACATCGAGTCTCCAGTCACGAAATCTATCAAGTCTTCCACCCATCATAAGACTACTTTGAAACAGCATAATCTGCAATCATCAAACCGTGAAACATATCGAACGTTAATCTGCTCTTTACAAAAATTCCTTATTAAGACTAATAAAAATCAAGATATGCAGCAATACTACATCGGTGAATCGAATATGATTCCGCCATCAAAGCTGCAAGTTGATTACATTGCTTGCCAAACCAAATTTTAGCACCAAACCAGGTGAGACATATTGAACAAAAGAAAGATATACCTCTGCAAGGTCTTCGGGGGATGGATGCCGGACATGCCGAAAACACCTACTTCCAAACACCTCCGTTTCACGGCGGCTCGAGACAAAATCCGGTTCGGAATCCAGAAACGAGAGGGTTTCCGGGCTCACGTTTCGCCTTGCTAAACAAGGACGCTGCCAACAAGATTAATCAACCAAACAAATTAGATATGAAACAAGAATGAACACATAATACAAGCAGAAAATTAAGTTGGTATTAAGATTAACTTCAGTATTTAGAGAAAAACAAAGAAAAGTCCTACCCTAATACGAAAGCTGAGAAGATTAACACTGTCTAATCATAATTATATATCCCGTTTAGTGTGGGATTATAAATTGGGCCGGATCCTAATCAAATTGTAAATTCAAGGCAACTCTTAAGTGCCCAAGAAAAATGAGAAAACCAAACAGATCAAAAGGTCCTAGCTTTACCCAAAAAAAATTGAGGAAAATTAATGAGATAATAATCCTGTGAAGCTCAAAATTTACAGAAAATCAGCTTTAAATAAAATGGAGTTTTAACAAAACCCTATTGATACTGTTCATTTTTAACGAAAAACCACATTTATACATTTCTCTTGTACCATTCATTTTACCTTTAAAAATGATTTTTCGTTAGTTTCCTTAAATAAAATCCTAAAGTATAATCAGAGACCATCATAATAGCCTTAAAAGCTATTAGTTGAGGTCAAGTTAGTTGACTAAGGCAGTATATCCGTGCCTTCAGACCCAAACAAATCCCCCTCCCTCTCCTTCCTTAAGTAAGTTAGAGCAGTTTAAAATATTGACCAGTAACAAAATACCCAAGTTCAAATCCCCTCATAGTTTTGATTGGATTACGATACCACTCCAATTAAAAAACGGAAAAAACTAGCAATCCCCAATAAAAAAATGGAAAAAACTAGCAATCCCAATTCATGAAAGAGAGATTTCGGTGTGCCCGAAACATAGCACGGTATGTAAAATATAATAATATAATCGGTTGAAAAGTTAAAAAAAAAATACATTCAACCAATCGTATTATGATACATAATTCATCAGAGTATACGGCTTGTGCACATAGAAATGGACTAGGATTTTCCCACCTTTTTTTTCTATCCCCTTCTATCTTCTCTTCTCAACTTCTCTATTTTATCTCTTTATACAAAATTAATATAAGATGTCGACGGGTATTTTGTTATCTTATAAAAAATTAATATAAGATATTAATGAGAATTTTGTCTTTTTATAAAAAATTAATATAAAATATTAACGTGTTTTAACTTAACCTTCGGAAGGAAATTGAAGGAAGGAAATGAGAGAGAAAAAAAAAAGGAAGAAATTCTTATCCCATAGAAATTGTATAAATTAAAAGCATTAAATGACCACATTAACAGCAAAAGTAAAAACCATTTTGTTTACCTCCCTGTGGCTGCTCATCTTATTATTGTCCGCAGCAATCCTGCCTCTGCCGGAGACATTCCTCCTCGCCACCACGCAATCCACCGAGCCGGCAGTTTCCGCCGATAACCCAATTCCGGGGCCGCACCAAACATCCTGAAAATCCATACATGTTGCAGAATTTATACCGAAGGTGGGCCCACCATCACCGACATCCCTGTATTCATTCTTCTCATTGCTTGCGCTGCCCTTGGCGGCGGCGCTCTTCTTCTGCTTTTTCTTCTTCACCTTCTTTCCCTTCCAATCAGCGGAGTTCCGAATCACCTCCGGCACCGAGACTTGCTGCGAGGCGGATGCGGCGCAGCCCAGGCCTCGGAACGTCGACGAGGGAAAGTTTGTCTTTTTCTTCATCGTAAGGCTTGAAGGTAAGGCTTCGTTGTTGTCGGTGGTTGTGGTGGTGGTGAAGCTGGAGAGGAGGAGGGAGGAGATGGTGGGTTTACAGCGGGTGGATTGGAGGAGGGAGGTGGCTGGATCCGTTTCTGAAATGGGTTGGGTGAATTGGGTTCTGGGTCTTCTCCATTTCATGTGCTCTGCTCCTGCTGTTGAGCTCTCTGTGAGAATAGGCATGGTTGCCTAGAGAGAGAGAGAGTGAGGAGAGAGATAGAGAGAAAAGGAGGAAACTTTGGTTTGGTTTTGGGAGAAAGAATAATGGGGTTGTGAATTGTAGTGGAGACAATATAGAAAAATATAGTATACAATATGATTTTACTTTCATTAGCTGTTTTTTATTTTTATTTGTTGAGATTTAAGTATTTTGACTGCTTTTGTAAAACGTATTTATACTCTAAAATGCTTTTGTTAGAAGTGTTTTTTTTTTGTCAGAATACTCGAAAGTATTTTGACTATAAGCATATAAAATATTTATTTAGATAACGTTTTTACTAACATGTAATTTTTAAGGGGTTGTTTTATTGGTGTCTCATATTTTGTTGATTACTAAAAACACTCTATATTTATATTTTAAATTAAAAAATATCTTAATAAACCCTGCATTCTTTCCCAAGCTATCCTCACACCCTAAACTCCTCACATACACACCCCACATCAAACCTGCATATTTGTCTTTACAAACTTGTTTCCTCTAGTTTTCTTTTCAATTTTCATATTAGTAACCTATATAATTCTTCAATCTTTCTTTTAGTCGAAATGGCTTTTCATTAAAGCAAAGACAAAATGACATAAGTATCACCCAAACTAACTCGAGGGCAAAAGGGTTTAAGTCTTGTAGTTGTATGTATATAATATTGAAGTGATGGAGTTTCATGTTGAGTTTTCAAACTTTTACGGAAAAACCTGTTCATTCTTTTCTGGAAAAATGGTCATATTGCTTATGTGAGAGCGTAGAAATAAATTTTAGGCATAACTCAAAGAAAGAACTTAGGGAGCGTTTGTTGCGCCGGACTGTCTCGGACTGGACTAGCTGCAGGGACTAAGCTGGACTGGCTTAGACTAGACTAAGCTGGACTAACTTAGTGAAGCGTTTGGTGCAGTGTCGGACTAAGAAGCAGGGATAATAAAAACAGTGCTGTTCATCAGATTTGTGTTTGCTTACACTAGAACTACAAATTTTTGCCATTGTGTAATAAAGTAATGCTACAAATGTCATGAGAAGATACTTGTGTAATAGAGTAATCCTAAACTTTATGCAATAAAATCGAACATTAACTAATGATAGTTTTCTTGGATTATAGAGTTTAAGAAAACGGAACTCATATTAGATATTTGTCTGAAGCAAGTAAAATTGCCATGGAAAATGTCGCTTAAGTTCTTCACGTGCATGATATATGGTGTTCTGGTTCTCTGTTGGGTGAAGATGACTAGGATCCAATGGTGGTAGGGTTTTGAAGGAAGGGGAAACGTGAGTACTAATACTTTGGTTTCAAGAATCCTCCAAGTGTACCCAACAAACCTTGCTCAAAAGAAAAGAAAATAGAAAAGCATGGTAATTAAACAGGCTATAAGGGGCCGTCTCTTTTTCCATGTGGCATAATTCATAGCTGACTAGATTAACAAGCAAGAGCAAGTACATAAGAAGATCTCCATAATTTACAAAATCCAGTGAACTATAGTATACCATTCAAAAGTAGATCTTCATAATTTGCAAACTCCTAGTTAACATTAGCCAAAATACTTCATAGTGGAAAGCTAAGTTATAAGTCATAACATAAGATTGTACGATTAATAAAATACATTCATATCAAAAGACACCACATAATATACTCATCTGCTTGCTTTGTCGCTTAAAAGCCTGGACAAACACTTTCTTGAGTTCCGGTTTGATTGCCCTGAACACTCCCACATTTTGTTGTTTATCCAAAATAAGAGACAATGCATCAATTTGATCCATAGGAGAAAGACCAATTTCTTCAAGTTCGTTAGCTATGTCACTATGATCTGCAGTACCTTGAACTAAAGCTTCAGTTACCATTTGCATCCTCTTCCCACTTTCAACATAAAATTCTTTCAGTCCACTGATAATTGCCTCGGTTCCATCACTTGAGCTTCCCACACCTCTTTTCCTCTTTCGTTGGTTATTTTCAGATGGGATGCTTTGTTGGCTTTGTTCGTTCATTGAAGAAACAAAATTTTCACCTCCAATATCACTTGCACCAACTTGATCATGACTTTGTTCCTCCACCATTTCAGCAGGGGTTTCGGCTACATTACCCGTAGCCCGATCTTTTCCAAATATATATGCGAATCGATCATACAGTGGAAAATGTTTGCTTCTCCATCCATCGGCTTCTTTATTTTTCTAAGATTATATCAACATAGCAAAACTAAAATTGAGCATGTGTAACAAATAAAGCAGCAAGAACAAAACTAATGTATAAATAAAATAGGATATGAACCTGCACATAAGTTTGCCATGCGTCATCACTCTCAACTTCAACGCACTTTTTGACATCATTCCATGCAAATCCACTTGTGTTTATCATGTCAACGACCATACTATATGTTTTTTTCCATTTCTTCAACTTTGACTCAATATGTGGAGTTGCCTTTATATTGGAATGAGGACATAAAATATTGACAGCTTTCGCTATTTCAATCAAAGTACCTTGTTTGAAAGCACCGGTGTCACACCGTTGCTTCCGAGCAACAAAATCCTCAAGAACGGATAGTAATACTTCTTCCTCAAATGCTTCCCATTTACGCCTTCTTCCTTTTGGCTCTTGAGTAGCATTCAAAATATTGTCCTTATCCATACCTAAACAAAAAATATTTGAATGTACTAAAATACAATACAAATAATCAATTTGCATAATATCCAATTAATTTGCATAATATCCAAATAATTTGCATACCATCCAATCAATTAAAAAAGTTTTTAACATTCACTGATGAGCAATCTAATAATTATGCTAATATCCAACAAATGCATGATAAAAAGGAATACTAAAATAAAATGTTATCATTAACATATATAGCTAGTTCGGTTGCTGGTTCCTAATTGCTCTCCACTCATTATACATTTCCTGAGCCATGACATTCCTCTTTGCAGTCCACTGGTCAGATGTTTCAACACTACCAACATATTCACCTTCTTCTGTATTTTGTCCATCTTGTATTATTGGCAAATTTTCCAGTGGATCTACAGACATCTCTTGCCTAATAAGATGTGTAGTAGGCAACAAGCAGTAATTATTCGACCTTGTGTCCTTATCGGATAGAAAGATGGACTTCTTAGTATCGACCACCTTCCTTTTAGCAAGCCAAAACAACGTTCAATTACATTCCTTGCCTTAGAATGCTTCATGTTAAAATACTCTTCCTTATTAGAAGGCGTTCGTCCCTCTCATTCAGATAAATGATAAGGTATTCCTCTATAGGGTGCAAGGAATCCTTCACCATTTGTATAACCACCATCTACAAGGTAATAATAACCTAATAAAAAAAAATGTTATTAGTGTTTTGTAGTTGACAAACAAAACTAGACCTAACTTACAAAGTTGAGACTAACTAATACTCTTACCCGTTGGTACCTTAAAACCATTAGGCCTAGTAATTGCATCATGTAGCACTCTAGAGTCTGATGCGGAACCCTCCCAACCCGGAAACACATATATGAACTGCATATCGCCTGAACACACACCTAACACATTAGTTGCGACTCGACCCTTTCTTGTTCGGTATCTTGGTTTGTCAATTTCATGTACATGCACATCAATGTGTGTTTCCATCTATTGCTCCCAAGCAATTCTAAAAAAAAAAAAAAATTAAGCTTTTGTTAATTTATACAAAGGGAATGAAGAATTAAAGCTTAGGGAAAATGAAAAAAAATTATCATACCTTAAAACATCGCCACCTAGGATCTGTAGAATCAATAGGCACATGCTGAGGGACTTTTAGTAGGATACCTTGTAATCGCAAAATTCCTTGCAATACGCTATTGAAATACCTACTTATAGTCTCTCCCGACCTATAAAATCTACCGCCAATACTACGATTCTTAGTATGATGTGCTAGTATTTGTAAAGTCATACACACCTGCTCCTCTACAGACACCAAACCATCAGTTTTTACCCTCCCATCTTGACGAAGTAAGTCACATAATATGGCAAAAGTCCTTCTATCAATTCTCAATTCGTTGACACATTCAATATCAGTATTCCCTATTATACCATTCAGATAACACAAACTAATCTCTCGTCTAACAAGTGAACGATTAGTCAAAGTGGGTCGTTCAACATGTCTCTGTTTGGCCCTTAGCATCATCACCACAAGAATCGTACAAATGCAAATTGTCTCTAAATGAGACATCTCTAACAATAAGATCAATAAAAGCTTCCTTCGATCCATATCTATCCAAACAAAAAAAAAAGGAAAATTAAATAAGGACATTATATATGTAATATTTACTGTTATTAAGGGTGATGGAAATGAAGTGATTATGATTCGAAATGAACTAGATCAAAATAAACGGTATACAAAGAATTCTGAAAAAAGTAACTGCATTAACAGCCCAAAAAATAAACAGCCAAGTCACAATTAATGTTGGATCAACAAAAAGAAAAAAACCAGTCAAGTCACAATTGCTAGGCATTGCATGTTAAAAGGGAAATTAAATGACACCTGTGAAGCGGTAGTCTTAGCCTTATCCTTCCGTTTATGCTCCTCTTCTCTGCAACCAACAACCACAGAATATTGCAGTTCAGCATACAAAACATTCACATTGTAATATCATGGTTATAAACTAAATACACACACACACTTACAGAGCACACACACACACACTTCCAGTGCAGAATACACACACACACACACACACAGAAATTAGACACACACACACAGACACAAACACACTCACACTCACACTCACACACAAACACAGTCACATACACACACACACACGGGGACAGAGTGCAACACACTCATACACTCACACACACACTCCGTTTTTACAGTCACACACACACACACACACTCACACTCACACACAAACACAGTCACACACACACACACACAGGGACAGAATGCAACACACTCTTACCCTCACACACACACTCCGTTTTTATACTCACACACACACACACACACAGTCACACACACAAACACAGTCACACACACACACACACGGGGACAGAGTGCAACACACTCATACATTCACACACACACTCCGTTTTTACACTCACACACACACACACACACGGGGACAGAGTGCAA